TTCTTTTCTAGTGTGGCAGTCAACGTGTTACAGGAAAAATTTGCTAACCCCTATTCTGTAACCCCTCTCCCCTAGTTTTCTTCCTCCCTATTTGGCTCTGCTGAACCCTAAAGCTGAGAGAACGTGTAAGAGCCAGTTTTAAGGCAAGGTTGGAAAAGCTCTGGTCAAAAAGTACTTGAGGTGCTGGAGAAACTGCACCCCTTTCCCTGGCAGCTGGTTCAAGAAATAGTACCTGACATTTCTTTAAAAAAGAAAAGCTAGCATAATAGTTGTAATTAACATAAAAAGATACTTTGCTGAGGAGTTTATAAGCATTATGTAATTTAATTTTCATGATCAGCTTCATTAACAGTTGAAAAAATTGAAGCACAGAGAGGGTGGTAACTTACCCATGGTCACACAGCTGAGAGATAGCCTCAGGGCCCATGCCCCTAATCATCACACTGGACTGCCTCCTGATGGCGACGGTGCTGCTGTTTCAGAGCCAGCACCGATGAAAAGACAGAAGATGTTTGTGAGCAAATACAGCGTGTGGGGCTGGGTGAGTTTTCCAGAGGTTAGCTGTGCAGTTTTGGAGTGCAGGATTGCATTAGAAAGCTGGTGGAGCATGGGGAAAAAACCCAGCAAACATGACTCTGCAGAACAGTCCTGTGACTTCCAGAGAGCTCTTTCTGATCCCGATGCAGCTGGTGCGCTCTGACTGCCGGTCTCGTTCCGTGCTGGCAGGCGCCTGTGTAGCGAGTGTGCACAGGAGTAAACAACACAAAGGGGATCGGCTCTTGTTGCACATGGGGCTAACGTCGGTGTCCTCGTAATGAGCCTTTGGTGATTTGAAGATAGAGCCCTGCTGGAAGCATGTAAAGAACATGTGCGTGGATTGAGGGTTTTCCTCCTGTTTTGCTCTACTGAGTTTTGACCGCGTGATGTGTTAGCGTGGGTCCGGGGTTTACCTCTATTGGTGGGACCAGCATGTGCAAGGGAAACTTGTTGAGCCCATATGTGATGTTCAAGCCCCGCTGACCCTTCACCTTTGGGGAGGAAGAGCACCCGGCATGGTGTTACTGAAGCGTGGACAGCCCCAGGTGTGTGGGGTGGGGTGGGAATGCATGTGGCGATGGTGGTAAGGCCCAGGGAGAACTTCAAGGCTGACAACAAATGGACGAAGTTAGGCAAGGAATACTGTGTGTCTCAGGAAGACACTTGAATTCACCAAACAGCAGAAGCCGGGGCGGACTAGAAGGGCAACCTAAGGACCTGAAGGCAGTGTCAGCAGATGGCCGTGTGGTTGAAGGGAGCAGTGGTAGCAAGCCTGTGGACAGGGGTCTGCCAGCAACACCCCAAATAGGATGTCAGGACCCCGTTTAGGGAGGACCATTTCAGAGCCTTTGTTACCTGAGAATCCAAAGCCGTTTTCTTTCTTGCTTAGCAGTTGTAGAGCTCACTTTGAACACACAGCCACATAAGGTTACACTTTTATTGTTTTCTTGTCCCATAATGTTGCCTCTTTGATCCGAAGCTATATACTCCGGAGTTACTAAAATAGGGATGTCATGCCAGGATTGATCCGTTCAGCAGATAAAATACTTGCCTTTCAGGGTTACTTTGGCCTGGAATTCTATTACAATTCAAGCATGAAGTATGACTTGGTAAAAAATTATGACTCTCAAGGAAACTTTCTGCTGGCGGGGCGGACGGAGACATACGGTCCCCTGCAGTGCAGGGTAGACTTCAGGGACAGCTGTGGTCAAAGCACAGGGAGTATCAGGAGTGGAGGGAGCAGGATTAATTTTAACTCAAGGGATTTGAGAATGTTATTTTCTTACCTTTCTGTTTCCTTTCTTCCTTGTCTTCCTCTAACTGCCTAAGTGTGTATGTTCCCCGAACTCTGCCTTGTTGCTCCTGTGCACTGACTCCCATAAAATCCCGACTCTTCTCCTGCCTTCTCTTTTGGACTCTTTGCCTTTTGTTTTTTATTGTGGTAAATAACACGTAATATGAGTTCTACCCTCCTAAAAGATTTTAAGAGTACAGTAAAAGCACAATTTGTACAGCAGATCTCTAGAACTTTCCATCTTGCATGACTGAAGCCCTCTACCCACTGAACAGCAGCTCCCCGTTTCCTCCTCTCCCTGCGCCTGGAAACCACCGTGCTGCTCTCTGTTTCTGAGAGTTTGACTACTCTCGGATCACACGGTGTTTGTCTTTTGTGACTTACCTCACTTGGCATGCATCCCAAGATTCACCCATGTGTTGCGTGTGCAGAGTTTTGTTCTTCCACACGGCTGGGTCATGCTCCATTGCATGTATGTTCCACATCGTGTTTGCCACTCGTGCATCGGTGGACACGTAGGTCGTCTCCGTATCTTGGCCGTTGTGTGAATGATACAGTGAACGTGAGTACGCAGTATCTCTTCGAGCCCCAGATTTCAGTTATTTTGGATAAATACCCAGAAGTGGGAGTGCTAGATTGTATGGTAGTTCTATTTTTAATTTTTTGAGAAACCTGCATATTGTTTTCCATAGTGGTTGCACCATTTTATTCATACATTCCCACCAACGGTGCACAAGGGTTCTAGTTTTTCCACATCTTCACCAACATTTGTTATTTTCTCTTTTTTTAGATATTGGCCATCCTAATGGGTGTGCGGTGAGGTTTTGATTTCATTTCCCTGATGGCTGGGGGTGTTGAGTGTCTTTTCACAAGCCTCTTGGCCACTTGAATGTCGTCTTTGGAGAAATGTCTGTTTAAGCCCTCTGCCCATTTTTAAATTGGGTTATTTGCTTTTTTGCTGTTGTGTTGTAGGGGGTCTCTGAGCCTTGCCTCCCATGTCTCCATGCCCCTCCTTGGGGAACGCTACACTCACATCTTCTACTGTTCCTCAGCGTGACCCTTCTGCCCAGCGAGTGAACTGCTCCCCACTCCCTTCTCATTGCTCTGCTCCTACCGTTCTCCCTTTGGTTTCTGAAAGATATTCGGACCCAACTCGGACAGATCCTTAAAATCCAGGTCAAGTGCAAGTTCCCCCTGAATTCTTCCCTGACCATCCAGCGAGAATGGCCGTCCCTCTGCTCAGGCTCCAGTACCTGCCTCTGTTGCTCTGTGGGCAGTTGGCGGAGACTGCTGCCTGGCACTGGAATGGATATTACGTGTGTTGTGTAATTTTATGTTAGCTGAACTGCTATCTCCTGAAGGGAGGAGCCTGTGTGTCCCCCAGGGGACCTTACGAAACACCTTGCCACATGTGTGTTCTGAGTGTAGAAGACATAGGAGGACTCCAAGCCTGACAGTGCTCTGGCAACAGAGGACACGAGGGAGCAAATCCCAAGTACGCAGGCCACTGTCAACCCCAAGAGAGACAAGTGAGCTGGACAGAGACAGGGAGGAAAGACAAAGGCCAATGACCAGCATCTTTTAGCAAGTTGGCATTGGAACAGACAAGCAGGTTTACACGGGAAGGTCATTGCTGTAATCTGAGACATACTCTGCTGGATTTTGGCAGGCAGAGGTTGACGAGTGTATGCTAGGAGCCAGAGAGAAGCTGAGTTCACTTTACAGTTCTGTAGGCAGTCGGAACAGCTGCTGACAGTGGGGGCTGGGCAGTGTAAACATCTCTGCTGAGAACACTGTTGCAGAGAATTCGTGGCTTCCAACTCCGGTATGTCTTGCCAGCAATGCTGCATGAGTGGTCAGTCCATGGCTAAGTTGTAGGTCACCCAGAGACCCCTAGAACAGATATCAGGTGGCCAAGGCCCAGTCAGGAGGGTTGGGCTTGTAATGTGGCTCTTGTGCTGGAACTGGCACCTCATGCTCCTTGCTGAGGCTGGAGGACCCTTCTCTGGGCTCATAAAATCCATGGAGGTTCTTCACCCAGTGAGCTTTATTACCTTCTTTATGGGGATCTCCACACACCCTCACTGTGGTGGGGTTTTTTGTTTTTTGAGACAGAGTCTCAATCTGTCATTGGAGCTAGAGTGCTGTGGCATCAGCGTAGCTCAAGCAACCTCAAATTCCTAGGCTGAATCAATCCTCCTGCCTCCGCCTCCTGAGTAACTGGGACTACAGGTGCGCACTACCACACCCAGCTGATTCTTTCTATTTTTTTTTTAGTAGAGGCGGGGTCTCACTCTTGATCAGGCTGGTCTTGTACTCCTGGCCTCAAGCGATCCTCCAGTCTCGGCCTCCCAGAGTGCTGGGATTATGGGTGTGAGTCACCGTGTCCAGCCTGTGGTTGGGTTTTTATGGTCTCTAAGACCCTGCCTTGCACCCTGAGCACCAGCAGCCTGTTCTGTCCTGGTGATACCATGGCCAGTTTTGGCCCCTGCATTACTTGGGAGCGTTCCATCTAGAGGACGAGTTACGGGGCCCCATCTTGTACCATGGGAATGTCCCTCAGTAGGTCAAATCCTGCTCTGGTGTGAATCTGGGAAGCCCAACAGCCTGGCCTGGCCTCTCCAATGGGAGGGGAAATGAACAGCTTGGTACTCTCAATAGCTGCCTCTCATTCTCTTCCCTGACACTGAGAACAGCTCTGTCTTTTCTGGCTCCTCTCTGGTCTTCTCCCACTCCTTCAACCATGCTTATCCTGGGGCGTTGATTCTCACACCCAGCAGGTATGTAGAATCACCTGGGTGCTTGAAAAGAAGCAGAAGATGACAAAGGCCCTATCCCTGGAGATTCTCTTTAACCAGGCGTGTGTGGGGCCTTGGAATCTGGCGTTTTTATACAGATATGTACCTATCTATCTATCTATATATATCTGTACCTACAGATACAGATACAGATGTGTAAGAACTACTAGAAGGATGGGATGAAGGACTTACTGAGTTACTAAGTTTATTCCTTTTTTGTCCAACTCTATGCTTTTTGGATTTTCTACAATGATCATATATTTCTTTCGAAATCAGAGACAGAATAGATGTCATTACAAAACAAACACTGCATCCTCAAGTGATCTTTCAGAAACCTTCAATCCTCTTAAATGTGTTCCTGTTTTCCACAGGGGGACTTGATCTCATCTTCGTGCCGGGTCTCGGCTTT